TCCCTTATTTTTGTTCAACTAGCCTCTGCTCACATTGACCCCTTTGCCTTGGAAGTTCTCCTGCACCTGGCCGACTCCCAGCCATCTGCTGTGAGTTCAGGAATTGCCTTCCAACCACCCATAATACCTCGGGCACATCCTTGGCTTCACATTTTGCCTTCATCTACTGGCTTTCAGCCTGAATCCTCCACTAGATCATGGAAAGGATGGGCTGCATCATATTGTTATTTTTTATCTCCTGCCCCTAGCTCAGTGATTGGTATGAAGAAGTGCAGTAAAAGTTTGTGGACTGGAAGATATTATAGTACTAATAAAAACCCCACTGTCAGAGCTATCTTTCTAAACATAGATCTGATGACAACTTTTCTCTACTCAGAAATGTTTATTCTGAAACAGTGAGGACTGTGTTCAGAATAAACCACAAAACTGGCAGCCCACTGGCCTTGCAGGACCAGGGAGAGCCTGGCTGGGAGATGTCTAACGCAGGTGCCTTAAGGCAGTGTAGCCCGAGGGAGAGCAGAAATCGTGAGCTGGAGAAGCAGAGTCTCAGCGGGGTGACCCTCGTGCTATGTGAGCCACTTTGTGAGGAAACAGCTGCCTTAGCTCTTCCTGTGACAAGCCAGCTCTGCCTACTCAACCCCCCTGCTCACTGAGAACCCCTGGGCGGAGCATCAGAACCTTCTTCCCCCTATTTGGTGGCAACAATGATCCAAGGTGGTAGAGCTGTCAGTCATGGCCCAGGAGGACATTCAAAACCTGTGAGAGCAAGCCCCGCTGTAGGGCAGTGACACCAGCCCTGGGCAGCATCCAGACCTCACTGTGTCCAGGCAATACCTTCAGTGATTGATTTAGAATGCCTGGTGGTGGGACCCGGTGTCCGTCATGCAGCAGGTGAGGGAGAGCCACTGCTGTAGGAGGGGGAGTGGTGCCAGGCTGGGTCCGAAGAAAGAATTAAATTCAACCTGTCTCTTTCCTTTGGGCCAGATCTGCTTCCTTCTTAAAAATCATTTATAGATTAAATTACTTTCCCAAATCTAGTCTGTAATAGGCAAATGATTGTTTACTCTTGAGCTTTTGTTCATCTGTTTGGTTTGCATGTTTTCGGGGTACCTTGGGCTGGTCATTATTGTTGTGACCAAGAGCAGCGATTTTCAACCCATGTGCTGCAAGAATTTTTAAAACGTGTGGTACCTGACTATTTGGTCAGAGGTACCGACCTCTTTTCCCTTTGATTGTCAAATAAAAAAATGACAACAGCCAACACAACAATAGCTGTCCAGTGTGAGTGAATGAAAATTATAACCTTTTTTTTTGTCAGATCAGCAAAAACATATATTGTTTGGTGTGCCACAGAATTTTAGTATTCGTTTATGTGCCATGAAATGGAAAAGGTTGAAAATCTAAGCTTAAGTCCCAGCTTAGATAGCAGGTTAGGCAGGTTCTTAGTTGCAAATAACAAAAATCAGTTTTTTTGTTAAGAGGAAAGAAAAGTTAAATAGAAAAGGGATTTTTTAAAGAAAGTTTTTATAACATGAAAACAAATAAATGCATATAACATACATTTGCAATTTTAACTATTTTTAAATTTACACTTCAATGGCATTAATGACATTCACAATTTTGTGCCACCATCACCAATATTTCCAAAACTTTTTCATCAACTTAGGCAGAAACTCTGTACCCATTAAGCACCAACTTTCCATCCTTCTCTTCCCCCAGCCCTGGGTAACATGATTCCTACTTTCTGTCTCTGTGAATTTGCCTATTCTAGATATCTCATGTAAGCAGAGTTATGAAGTATCTATGGTTTTTTTTTGTCTGACTTACTTCATTGAGTATAATGTCTTCAATTTATCCATGTAGCATGTATAGGTACTTTATTCCTACTAATGGCTGAATACTATTTTATAGTGTGGATATATCACATTTTGTTTATCCAAGAAAATGAAATTCTTAAAGGATATTGAGAGGTTCTGTAGAAGAAAGCCTGGAGCCTGTGTAGCCAATGTGGGCTTCAGGTTCCACAGGGGCTTTAGCTGGGAATAGATCCCTGAGTGGCCTCTCTACTGTGTGGTCTCAGATAAACTACTCTGAGACAGTCTCTCATCTGTAAAATAGCGATAAAAAATCTTGTTCAGTCATTTGAGATGATCCAGGTAAACCATTCAGCATAAATTGTGACACAAATAAGAGTGTTTGTGAATATTACCCATTATTATGACTTATGCAATCATTGTTTATGCTTCTTCCTAATACAAAATCAGACAAGTAGAATTTTTTTAAACACATCTTTTCCTAAGGAAAGAAATAAAACTAAGTTGCTTTTTTTGTATGATTTCAATTGATGTTTTTTGGGTTTTTTTTGGTGGGAGGTTCCTTGGAACTTCTGAGGAAAGGAAGGAGGCTCCCTCCTGACTAAGAGGGCCACTACCCTGGACAGTCCAGCTCATTGTCCTCTTTAGATGGGGCACCCTTAGGGCTATACTTTCTGAGTACAAGCCCACCCCATGGGAGCACAAAGGGCAAACTGGGTGGAAGAGATGTCTGTGGAAAGGAAATAAAATATAGTTCCTTTTGACATGAAGAACTGTTGATTCTGACTGGACTCCCCTGCTATGGGAACTAGTTATAGACCTGGAGGATGCTATGGTCCTTTGGAAGTAGATGGACCCAGATTCAAATCCCAGCTCTGTTGCTTATAGGCCAAGTTACCTATTTTATAGGCCTGGAAGAGGTCATCGTGGGAGCTACAAAGGGTGGTAGCACCCAGGAGATCTACTGCACAAGAGTGCTATGGGCAGAAGGGTCCTCATGGAGCCCCCAGAAGAAGCCCGAATATCAGGCAGAGGGGTCTTGTTGCTTATTAGTCTTTCACTCCCTCTGGCCTCTGCATAGTCAGCTCAGACATCTTGGCTGTGAGGAGCCTTCTGTGTGGTCTTTCCTCAGCAAGGAAGGAGTATGAGAATTTCCCATCCATTACTGGTTGAGGTCCAACTTGAGCAACCTTGTAATGTAGCTGGGCTCTCTGATTCCTAAATGTTTTAGTTAGTTGCAAAATTGTGTTTTTTTGTTTGTTTGTTTGTTTTTTTACATACATAAACGTTGTTAGAACAAAATAATCTTCACTCACCATTCAGATGCCCAGAGAAATCAAACCTTGTAGGCTGCATTTCGACTTGGCTCTTGCCACTGCCCAGCAAGGCCATGTGAGTGCTGGCAGTGCAATTGTAAGGTGTTTTCTGAGACGTATCAGGGGCCCCCCTAATAGTGGTGTTTAGGACTGCATTGTAATCATGGCAATAATAATGACAATCTCTTACATGATACTGATCATTTAACTCCATCACTAATTTATGCTTTTCAAAACTCTGTCTAGCCTGTGATGGAAGACTAGCTTCCATTTTATCTATCTATCTATCTATCTATCTATCTATCTATCTATCTATCTATTTAAAATATATTTTTATTGATTTCAGAGAGGAAGGGAGATGGAGAGAGAGTTAGAAACATCAATGATGAGAGGGAATCATTGATTGGCTGCCTCCTGCATGCCCCACACTCAGGATCTGACAGGGTTCTTGTTCCAGCATTAAGAAGGGTTCAGCAATCTGGAGAAGGCTGTGCATAGATTAAATAGGAGTCCAGAGACGAAACATAATTTTGAAAGGCATTTGGGGGTCAAAGGAGCTTACCTTAAAGGAAATTAAGATCTAAGTTCTAAGGCTTAAGGTCTCCTCGTCTCAGGACCCCATGCTTTTTATTAATACAACTTGTCCTGAGGCGAGGCAGAGATATATACTTCAAAGGGTATATACACAAGCATTGACAGAATGGGGGAATTAGCCTATGGCTGTTCAGGTGTTTGGCCAGTAGGAGGCAATAACATGTAGATTAAGATGCTCTTTAGTTGTCTGGCAGCCAAGCAATCATCCCTTTTCAGGTTTGGGGAAATGCCATCAGCTATTCCCAGATTCAGCCCTGCTGTCATTCTGGAATTGGTCTCTGGCAGGGATCAAGCCTGCAACCCGGACATGTGCCCTTGACTGGAATCAAACTTGGGGCCCTTCAGTCCGCAGGCCGACACTCTATTCACTGAGCCAAACCAGCTAGGGCTAGCTTCCATTTTACAGATGTGGAAACTGGAACTCAGATATCGATTGCTAACAGATGGCCCATCTGGGGTCAGTATACACACTTCTGGCTTCTGGTCCGGCGGTCAATTTATTTCCCCCACTATGAGGTGGCAATGTGGAGACTCTAGATTTTATTGACGTGGTGGTTTGTGATATGGTTCCAGGAAGGTCACTTGATCTCCCTCTACCTGGAAAGGGGGCAAATCTTTCTCTCTCTCTCCAAATTTCCAAAGAGGAAGCAATTCTCAGCCAGAGCAGGAGCCTGAGCTTATTTTGCAGGCAGTGGGGTGTACAGGTGGCTCATTGCCTATGCCCGGGGCAACAGTAAATTGATATTTGCTGCTCTCCTAGCCTCTGGCAGACATGGGGAGGAAGGGCTGGGAAAGTGACATTTCTGTAAATAACTCCACCTGGTTTGGAGGGCAGGAGGATTGGCATGTCCCTGTAGCCTCATCAATTACCATCAACCCTTGCAAAGGGAGCCCCAGGAGAGAGCATCTCTTCACACTCTTATGATTATTTATAGTCACCTAATCCTGTCCATACTCTGGGGGGAGTGTGGTTTGCTCAAAGCAGCCTCCTTCCAGATGTGTTTCCTTCCAGGCCCAGTGGAATGCATCCTTCAGCCCCTCCACTACGTGGAGCAGAGGACAATGCCCAACATTGGGGCATAACGAAGATGTGGAAGGGGAGACACGGGCAGGATGCCCGGATTTCTCAGTTCATGTGGGTTTTGTTTGTTTGTTTACTGCAAAATAGCTTTATTGTTTCATTTGGTCCAAGGCATGGGAGGTTAAAAGAATGGCTAGTAGTTTCGGAAAGAGGCTCAGGTAAAAGCCAGACACCAGGGGAATGCAGAGGGGCCCCTCAAAGGCCTCTGGGCTCCAAAGGCTCCAAGTCATGCTTGAGGGTGAACCGTTTGAAGAGATACTCACCCAGCCCAGCCTGGGGGCTGTTAGTTGGCTGGTTGCCCATCTTCTTGATGAGTTTCACCTCCTCATCCAGGAAGTGCTTCTCCAGGAAGTCACAGAGATGAGGGTCTGTGTGGGTAGAACCCAGGGCATGCAGCTCCAAAAGGGCCTGGTTCAGGTTCCTCTCCAAGGCCAGGGCAGCTTCCATGGCGTCCTGAGTTGGCCTGCCCGCGCCCCCCCTCCCCCCTTGGGAAGGCTTCAGCACATCCTGGAAGAGAATGCGGCCACCGAGCTTGTTTTGCAACTTTAAAACGAGATGCTCAGTGCCCTCAAGCTTCTTCTCCGCCAACTCAGGGAAGAATTGGCCCACGCCCTCGATAGCCACATTGTCATGGTGGAAATAGAAGCCCAGAGAGAGGTAGGTATGGGAGGCCCACAGGTGCAGGTTGGCCGGGCGGTTGACCGCAGCCTCCACCTCAGTGGAATAATTCTGACGAATTTGGGAGCTCATGGTTGTTCAGCAATAAGGAGTTAAGGTAGAAAAAAAAAATGGTGTGTTGGCTCGTCCCGCGTGAAGGTGGTGACTGGATAAGACGCAGGAGAGTGGCTGGAAGCTGGAAGAAGGGGGTCCCTGGGTCTGTTCTGTCCAAACACTGTTGAAGCAAGAGACAGGTCCGGGACCCCTGAGGGCACTGCCTGAATAGCCTCTTTGCGGCTAAAGAAGGCCATTCGGTGCAGTGATTAAAGAAACGTGCTTTGCAAGCAGATAGACCTGATTTTAAATCCCAGCTCTGCCATTTACCAAATACAGTGTATGTGGTTTTCGTTGTTACTTGAAGCTTCGTCTCCATTCCCTCATCTGTAAAATGGGATAATAATATCTCCTTCCAGGGTCATTGTGCGGTTTGAATGCAGTCCTGACACAGCAGGTGATAGGTGGATATATGGTGCCTATTTTTTTTTTTTTACATTTTAAATATGGAATGCTTCATGAATTTTCATGTCATCTTTGCCCAGGGGCCATGCTAATCTTTTTTGTATCATTCCAAGGTTAGGATATGTGCTACTGAAACAAGCACTGGTGCTTATTCTTATAAGACACTACTAGTTACTGTGTGTGTGTGTGTGTGTGTGTGTGTGTGTGTGTGTGTGCGCGCGCGCGCGCGTGTGTGTAGAAACCCATGGGCAGGACAGGTCAGAGGGGACTTCTTGGTAGGAGAGGTGATTGAGCTACCTGAGTGTCTGAAATATGTTACTGGACGTGCCAGCTGGGTGCCTACCGCCTGATTATGGGTTGGCAGAGTGCCTTAGACCAGCATTTAGGAGCAGCTGTTCTAGCCTGGGATGGTGGCCTGGGCGGCCAGTGTCCAGCGTTAAGACTTGGCAGCCTGTCCAGACGGAGAGTTCTGTTGGCTTGCCACACTGAGAGGAGCGTTTGTTTAAGAGCGAATCCAGCCCCCGCAAAAGTGAGGCTGCCTAAAGTGACAAAAAGAAAACATACATTTTTGGGTGGGTTATCTGCATAGATTTTTTTAGTCAATGTTCAAATTTCCACAATTGTTTTCGTATTTCCCCCCAGTGGAATCTAAATGACATTCACACATGGCAAGTGGTTGATATTTCTTTTAGTCTCTTCAGCTGATAGATCCCCCAGCTCTCTTGTTATCCCCTTCCATCCATTTGTTGGAGAGACCAGGTAGTTTTTAGATGGGACTGCATCCCTGTGGTGTCAGCTCCCTGGCTCTTTGTCCCCTAACCTATCTAATAAAAGAGAAACATGGTAATTGGCATACAACCGCTACGCTTCCCATTGGCTAATCAGGGCGATATGCAAATTAACTGTCAGCCAAGATGGCGGCCGGCAGCCAGGCAGCTTGAAACTAACATGAGGCTTGCTTGCTTCAGTGACGGAGGACTCCAACATTCCCCGCCTGCCACTGCAGGCCTCTGAGCTGCAAGCAACTATGTAACAAATATAGAAGCTAAACAAAACCCCAGAAACCTGCCGGGCTTCAGCCAGCAGGATCGCAACATTGTAAGCAAAGCCCAGAAACCTACTTTCAGCAGCGGAGGCCTAAGAGCTGGAGCCAAGCCTCAAAACTAAGCTGGCCCAGAATAAAAAAGGAAAAAAGGAGCGGTTGGGAGATTCAGTCACTCGCCAGCCTGAAAACAGCCCTCAGCCCCTCACCCAGACTGGCCAGGCACCCCAGTGGGGACCCCCACCCTGAAGGGTGTGTGACCAGCTGCAAACAGCCATCATCCCCTCACCCAGGCTGGCTAGGCACCCCAGTGGGGACCCTCACCCTGAAGGATGTGTGACCAGCTGCAAACAGCCATCATCCCCTCACCCAGGCTGGCCAGGCACCCCAGTGGGGACCCCCACCCTGATCCAGGACACCCTTCAGGGCAAATCAGCTGGCAACCACCCATGCACCAGGCCTCTACCCTATATAGTAAAAGGGTAATATGCCTCCCAGCACCGGGATCAGCATGACAGGGGGCAGCGCCCAAACCCCCTGATTGCCCTGCTCTGTGTGTGACAGGGTGCGGCGCCCCAACCCTGCCCCCCCCCCCCCCCACACACAGGCCCTGCTCTGTGTGTGACAGGGTAGAGCCATAACCTCCCCATCGGCCCTGCCCTGAGTGTGACAGTGGCGGCACCCCAACCCCCTGATCCGCCCTGCTCTGTGGGTGATAGAGGGCGGTGCCCCAACCCCCTGATGGGCCCTGCTCTGTGCGTGACAGGATACAGAGCCCCAACCCCCCTGATGGGCCCTGCTCTGTGCATGACAGGGGATGGCGCCACAATCTCCCCATCAACCCTGCCTTGAGTGTGACAGGGGATGGTGCCCCAACCCCCCAATCGGCCCTACCCTGAGCATGACTGAGGGTGGAATCACAACCTCCCGATCACCCTGCTCTGTGTATGACAGGGGGCGGCGCCCCAACTCCCCAATCGGCCCTGCTCTGAGCCCGACCAGGGGCTGCACCTAGGGATTGGGCCTGCCCTCTGCCACCCGGGAGCAGGCCTAAGCCAGCAGGTCGTTATCTCCCAAGGGGTCCCAGACTGCGAGTGGGCACAGGCCGGGCTGAGGGATACCCCCTCCCCCCGAATGCACAAATTTTTGTGCACCGGACCTCTAGTATTTCCTATAAAATGGCAGCAAGATCTAGTGACTTGGTCTGATTCAGATTTGTTTGTTTATCTGTAGGTCTACCTTGTAGGCATTGTCCTGTGCTCCCATCACTCGGCACATATTGACTGGTTGTCTTTTTTGTGATATAACAGCCATTGATAATCATTTTCCAGATTCATGATTTCATGTGTTTGCAAAATGGTAACATTCTATTCTATCATAAAAAATACGGAAATCTTGCCATTTGCAACATGAGTGGACCTTGAAGGCATTATGCTAAGTTAAAGAAGGGAATGTTAAATACCATATGATTTCACTTATATCTAAAACAAACAAACAAACAAAAACCGTGAACTCTTAACTACAGAGAACAGATTGGTGGCAGGGAGTGAAATGAGTGTTATGCCCATATTTCAGGATCCCCAAAAGACCACCAGGGAGCCAGCAGTGTCCGATGCAAAAGCAAAGAGTCTTTTATTCAAACCCGGACTTGGCTCCCCTACCCTCCTTACTGGCACAGCAGCAAGTGGCAGAGAGAGGGCTAGCCCGGTGGGAAGAGGAGTTTTATAGGGGGGTGGAGTAAGGGGAGGAGAGGGGACTGTGGGCCCCACCAATTGGCCAGGCGCAAGTCGGTGTCTCGTTACACAGGATGTGGTCATATCTATGGTGTGCACTTCCCTTGATTGTCATTGGTTAGTTTAAAGAAATCCTGGGTGTGGCTAGCAGAGGCTTGGGCTTCCGGGAAGAAGCCTTGCCGAGCACATGGCTGCCCAAAAATGGAGGATCTAGGGTAAGATGGAGGGCGTAGTCCTCCTGTATTAATTAGTATATTTTTTGATAGATATCTTATCTATACAATCATTTACTTCTCCTTTCCAATCTTTATACTCTTTCCTTGCTTTTTTGCATTGGTAAAGGTGGTCAAATGAGTAAAGGTGGTCAAAAAGTACAAACTTCTAGTTAAAAAATAAGTAATTCCTGGAATGTAATGTACAGCATGGCTGTAGATGATAAGATTGTATTGTATATTTTAAAGTTGCTAAGAGAGTAGATCTTAAAAGTTCTCATCACAAGGGAAAAAAATTGTAACTATGCATGGTGACATGTTAACTAGATGACTTACTGTGGTGGTCATTTCACAATATATGAAAATGTCAAATAATTATGTTGTACGCTAATATAATGTTATATCAATTACAGCTCAATTAAAAATTTTTAAAAAAATAAGGAAACAAAAATGTACAAAAAAGAACAGACAATTATTTTTCCAAAGTGTTATACCATTAACAATCCACCAAAAATGTAATTGCTCTATATCCTCATTGACAAATAGTATTATCAAGCTTTTAATTTTTAGTCATTCTCACAGTTCTGGGGGCTAGAAGTCCAAGATCATGGTGTCAGTGAGTTTAGTTTTTTCTTGGCTTCCAGATGGCTAGCTGCATGTTGGGTCTTCACATTGTCTTAGCTCTGTGGGTGGGCATCCTTGGTGTCTTTGTGTGTCCAAATTTCCTCTTTATATAAGAACATCAGTCAAATTGGATTAGGGTTCACCCAACAGCTTTATTTTAACTTAATCACCTCTTCAAAGGCCCTGCTAGATAGTCACTTCCTGAGGTGTACTGGGGGTTAGGGCTTCAACATATGAATTTAAGGGGACACAGCTGAGCTCGTAACAGGATTGTATTGGATCTATAGATCAATGTTGAGATAATTGACATTTTAATAATATTGAACCTTCCAATCCAAGAGCATGTTATGTCTCTCCATATATCTACTAAGTCTTCTTTATCTTCCCAGAAATGTTTTCTGGTGTTCAGTATGGGGGGCTTGCATATATTTTGTTAACTTTATGCCTAGATTTTTTTTTTTGATGATATTGTAAATGGTATTTTCCCAAATTTCTAATTGTTTGGGACTAGTGTATAGAAATGCAGTTACTTATTTGTATGTTGTATCCTGAAATTTTGTTAAATTCCTGTATAAATTAGTATATTTTTGATAGATATCTTATCTATACAATCATTTACTTCTCCTTTCCAATCTTTATACTCTTTTCTTGCTTTTTTTGCATTGGTTGAGACTTTCAATACAATGCAGAATAGAAATGGTAAGAATAGACAGCCTCAACTCATTCTGGATCTTAGAGAAAAGTATCTCAGGTTTTACCATGAAGGCTGAGATTAATTTTAGTTTTTTTCATAGATACCCTCTAACCATTTGGTAGCTATGAAAATGCATTTTTCAGATTTCCAAGCATGGGAAGCTTAAAGACAGAGAGCCCAACAGCTGCATTCTGAAATCCATCACTTTGTGCTGAAGTCAGATTCCCAAAGACTTCTCCCAGCCAATGCCTAGGAGATGTGGGATTCCTCTGGGGGGCCGTGACTTTGGCCTGAGGACTCCCTGATGGCTTTGCCTAACTCTCTAAAAGCTTCACTGAGGTTTCAGATGCTTCTACATCACCTGCCTTCTTCCCCAACTCCTTCACCAGATTTGTATCAGGATCTGACAAGTCTCTCATTCTCTTCTAGGCCTTCTCCTCATCTCCTTTCACAATATTGTCCTCTAATAAATTTCTTGCCAAAACCGGTTTGGCTCAGTGGATAGAGCGTCGGCTTGCGGACTGAAGGGTCCCAGGTTCGATTCCGGTCAAGGGCATGTACCTGGGTTGTGGGCACATCCCCAGTAGGAGATGTGCAGGAGGCAGCTGATCGATGTTTCTCTCTCATTGATGTTTCTAACTCTCTCTCTCTCTCCCTTCCTCTCTGTAAAAAATCAATAAAATATATTTAAAAAAAAATTTCTTGCATGTCTAATCCTGCCTTATTATCTGCTTTTTAGAAGACCTGTACTAACATGGGGATTAAGGAATTCCTTTTTTATTCCTAGTTGCTGAGAGGGTTTCTCCCCCTCTTAATCATGAATATGTATTGAATTCT